TACTTGTTAAAAGTTCTTGCTTTATTCTTTGTATTTCTGTTTCAAAAGTATATGAAGAAGGAATGAAGTTTTTCATCTCTACCAACATTGACGTAGGATTCATGACTAACGAGTTTGATGTTGTAGTTGTGGCTTGAATAGTTGTTGTGCCGATTGTTGAAATCATATCTTTACATACAAAATAAAAAAATAAATAAAAATAAAACTAACTTTATTTTTTATTTCGGGGAAAATTCATGATTTTCAAGAGGTTAGAAAACAGGTTAGAAAAGAGGTTAGATCTAACCTTCTACCCTAAACATTATTTTTGCTGAAAAATGACCAAATTTCATGAAAATTCAACGGGTGAAAAAACAGGTGAAAAAACAGGTGAGATCTCACCTCTTCACCTAAACATTATTTTTGGTGTAAATTTATGACAAAAATAAATGGTACCATTAATGATATCATGACTGTTCTCGTTCATGTCTGATTTACATCTAATGAAAAAGTTTAGAAGAATTTTCTTATTCTTTCTGGCATATTTTTGTCTTTCCAGTACTCCCGCTCTAATGGTCCCAGATGTGTTGGCTTCGACTCTCTCAAGTTCTTAGATGGTATAACATCTTCAACGCCTCCTTCATATCTTACTTTATAAGTGTCATCGTTTATGTTATAGTCAAGTATTTCAATAACCACTCCTCGCTTTGCTTCGTCAATGGTTTCAGCAAGTTTGCCATTACTACTTTCAACTAATTTATGTCGAGGGTAAAACGCAATAGAGTCGTCAGCAGCTTTTATAAGATATCCATTACCTTGCGTAGAGTCTACGATATAATAATTTCGACTTAACCTTAAACGTTTCTTTGTCAACGGTTTGTCGTCAAGAACTACACGAACTTTTGTACCAGGAATGAGGGTAAATTGTGTTGAATTTCTGATATTTTGTGTTTGGCTTCGTTTCTTTTGTATATACTTTTCTTCTTGTTGTTGTGTCATTGAATTTGGTGTATGTCCTGTTGTAGAATGTGTTGAGGAATTGTAAACTTCGATGAAATGTTTCATTGTTTCTTCGGTAAAGTCTCGCTCTTGGTTTAAATCTCTGAGAGTCCTTATGAAGCGGTTTATGATGCCGAGTATGTTATGGTTATGGTCTTCAGTAGTGTAGTGAGTTATGTTATGCTTAATAAGAAAATCTGTGATTTCATTGCTGAGGTATGCACTGTCTTGGTCTGATGTTAAAGTACTTGGGCTATGTTCTGCTACAAACTTTTGTAAAACTCTTAACACTTCACGAGTTCCTTTATTTTTCATTGGATATGCATATGCTTTACGAGTGTTAACATTAATGAAGATGAGGAATGGTTTATGTCCTCCTTTTCTGCTTTGAATGAGAGTGTCAAATTGGTATGCGTCAGGAGTGTTGGAGTAAATTGGTAAAAAGTAGTCGTAAGGGTTTATTTTTGTTTGATGTACAACATTTTTGTCAAAGAACCTTTTCACTTCAGCTCTGTTAGTAAATCCCCAACTCTTTGCAGCTTCATTGAACTTCTTAAATGACCTCCATGGATGTTGTTCGAATACTTCTTTCAAGCTCATTTATGTAAAGTTAAAGAGTTTAACCAACTCGTATCCAAGCGTGCATTGTTATATAAGGAGGCATATAATCTTTTCCATTACCTGCTGGGTCTGTAATACCAGCTACAACATGTGTATGATTTCCTGCAGTTCCACAGAAAATACCTGTGCTTGAATCTACTGGGTCAGTTGTGATATCATATCTGTTCATTCCCTGTCTATTCGAACCCGCTGCAAGATTTATATAACCTCTTTTTGTTATTGAATGTGAATGGTTTCCTTCCACAGATGTTCTTCCACTGAACCTATGCATATGTGAAGGAAGGTTTTCAATACCGATTTTCTTTGAACCTCCCATCTTCATTGACTGCGTATTAGTGTAGAATGGAAAACTGTCAACTATTTCATACCATCTACCACCAAATAAAGTGTTTGGATTTATTGGATTCATAGACGTATAAACAGCTCCTATAGGATATATTAAATCATATATGCTCATAACTCTATAAACATATTCTAAAGAACTTATGTCATTAAATACCATTTGGAATGTATCTCCCGGATGAAATGTTGCATTTGTTCCACTTTTATAATGTAATGTTAGTTCAATAGAATTATCCAAGAAAAATTCAAAAGTATCTGGTTGAAGACCTCTAACAAATTCAAATGGAGTTGCTGGTTCACCATTTATAATTTCTGTTGTAAATGTCATTGTATCTGGTTTCGAAAATTTCTTTGTTAGTTCTGCATCCACATAAGTTTTGTCTGCTTTCTTATCTAACATTGCTGGTAGTTCATGTGCTTCAAAGTTTCTGGCATGACCTTCAATGTTCATACATTTGTTATTTAAGGAGTTTAGTGTATCTTTTACGCTTGTACTTGGATTCTCTAAAGGTGCACTTGAACCAAGGTATAGTTCAATATTATGTCGTCTGCTCTAACAGTAGTGAAGGATTTATGTGTATGTTCTTTATCTGCTTTTTTATCTAATGTAGCTTGAAGTTCATTTATATCGGAGATATTGTGTTTATGAGATTTCAAAACTTTGTTCATTGCTTCGAGTTCAACTTTGTCAGCTTTACTTTTAATAGCATCTTCAAACGTTATTTTTGCCTTAACTCTCAATGTAAATCTTGGTTCAACTAATACACCGTTAACATTGAAAGTAGAGGCATAAATTTCACCGGTATAACCAAATGCTTCTGGTGCTTTAGCTACATCATACTGTACAGTACAGCTTATGTCATAACCTTTAGCACGAATGTATTTATATCTTCTTTCATTAACATTTTTTGTCTTCGCTTCATCACTTCGTGTTAAATATCCATGGTAGTCCGTTATAATCTGTTCGTCTGAAGTTATATAATGAACATGGTTCTTGTCCGCTTTACTATTTAATGTAGCTTGAAGTTCATTTATATCGGAGATATTGTGTTTATGAGATTTCAAAACTTTGTTCATTGCGTCAAGTTCATTTTTGTCCGCTTTATTATTTAATGTAGCTTGAAGTTCATTTATATCGGAGATATTGTGTTTATGTTCTTTATCTGCTTTTTCGGCTAATTTCTCTTCTATCTCATTTATTTCAAGTTCATGCCTACCACCACCTCCCGAAGAAGTATTTTTCTTCAGCTCTTGAAGAACGTCCACTTCGCCATCTTTGGTGTCAATAATGAGACTTTGAGTTAAAACCTTTCCTGTCTTAATGGATGTTTGTAAAACTTCTTCTTCACCGTGTTCGGGGTCATGGTCGTCATCATATCTTGTGAAATCAGAGATGTTGTCATACATTAAGCATATCTGTCTCAAAAGTTCTGCTATTTGAAACTGGAACGAAAGATATACAGAACTTTCATCATCTCCTAAAGTCAAGTCTGCTTTCTTAAGTATTTCTTGAATGTATGCAATGAGAACAGAGTACCTTGGAAAATATTCGAACAATATTTCATTAGCTGTTGGTTTTGGTGGTTCTTCTGGAGTTTCTGTTGTTTCAGTTCCTTCTGAGTTTCTGTTGGAGTTTCTGCATCTCTTGACTTCAATGCTCTTGCTCTCAAAGACCTAAATGTTAGAGCACCGGGTTTTACAAAGGACTTTATAAATGCTTTAATAGTTCCTGGTAAGTTATTGTTAGCATTAAGTAAGTTCCTTATGCTTCCATCATGTACGTCCATAGCACTATGTAAAAAATCTATACTTTTCTTGTAGTCAGCAATAGACTGACTGTGATTTTTTAAAGATTTGTCAATACCTTTAAGCCAATCTTCATGCATGTCTGATACTGAGCCAAGAATATCATTTGCTTCCTTTAGTGTATTTTGTGCTTCTCGTAAAGTATCCAATCCCGTACGTGCATTGTTTGCTATACGTCTTACAGTATCTATTTGACTCCTTGTTTCTTGCATCCAACCAGATAAAGTTTTAATAGTATCCGAACCATTTGAAATGAAGTTCAAAGCATTTTTAACGTCATCTAAAGCTTCTTCACCAAGTACTGCCCATATCTTTCCGATTTGGTATTGAAGAACTCCATATGAAGCAGCTGTTAAACCAGTATTTATAAGGTCCCATATCCATGATTTAGCAGTTTTTCCATCCTTTCCATCCTTTCCATCCAAACCGTTTTCGCCTTGAGGTCCTTGTATTCCTTGTATTCCTTGTATTCCTTGTGGTCCTTGTGGTCCTTGTGGTCCGGTGTCACCCTTCTCTCCTTTCAGTTCATCTTTATGTTCGTTATAATATTCTAATGTCATAAGGTGTACATCATTACTGCTACCAGCAACGCCGAGAATTTGTTTCTCATTCATGACTAAATTCTTTAGGCATTTAATGTTGTCGTCAAATCGAAAGCTCTTTAACAATTCAATGAGAACATTCAGTACTTTCACTAATGAGGCATCTACTGTAGAATTTATATATTGCACCGTTCCATCATTTATGATGGGAACCTTGCTTGTTGTAATGAATGGGTCATAAGTGTTAAAAGTATCGAAATCAATGACTTTTTTAGTTTTTCCATCGTCAATGACTAAATCATTGCCTTCAACGGTTAAAGTTGAGTTTTCGTTTACTATTCATGTGCTCTTCTTGCTTCATTTGTTTCATACGCATATGCAGCAATAGTCATATTTTAATGAGAATAAAATGTTGTTCTATTTGCAAAGTACAGACCCAAACGAATACGGGACAGTAAAGCTACAAACAAACTTAGGTCTTCAGAATGAAGCGCTTGCTTTCAGAGTTGTTGACTTCAATACTATCGCAACTTTTTCGTCATAACAGATGAAACAGATTTCATAGAGATTGAAATAGATGACAAAAGAAGTGTTATAACATTTCCTAACAGAGCCGAGTACAGAATAGATAAAATTGCTGGAGTCATAGATACTCTCATAAATGAAGAAACTATTGACAACATAGATGTCGAACTCTCTTCTGAGGGAACATTGAAGTTCAGTAGCAAGAAAGAGTTCAAGATAACACGAATGAGTCATAGAGTTCAACTTCTTTTAGGAGCATACCATATGACATTTCCTTTGAAAAGTGTTGACAAAACGATTGAGATGAAATCTGTTCCATACGTATGTTATGGCAATTGTTTGTACATTGAGTCTAAAATAGCTAATGTCACAGGCATTTCAGGAGTTAATAGTAAAGGTTCAGTAGAATATAAATCCTTCTGTTATGCAGTCAATTCAATGTTCATTCCAAACGTTCCTGTCATAGCAACTCATTTAGGTAAATGGGTTCGCATTAGTCCTCATAATTTGAAAGACATGCAATTCAGACTAGTTGACTTTCAAGGCGAGCCTGTAGAACTGAAGGCACCAGTGCGAATGACTGTTGAAGTTGACTTTTTAGAAAATATTAAATGCAACAGCTTACAAGAGAACTCAGAGCTAAAAATATAAAGTATGAATGTTATGTATTAGGTCATGAACTTTGGTTGTTGCTGTTTGATGAAACAAATGAGTTAGTTATGTCAGTCAAGAGAACAGAAAAAGGCGTCAAAGGCGCCGAGCGCAAAGCGCTATATTGTGTTAGTGAAAACTGCACCAAGTCAATAAGATTAGGTTTGCATTATGAAGATGAGTTCGATACTGTTGAAGAAGTTTTGGATAGATATTACAAATTGCTTTAATTTACTAAAACATATTTCAAGCAAAGTTTATATTCTGTTGAAAGTTTTGTATACTCGTTCGAATATTTATACTTAAACTCAACTCCTGTAGTTCCTGGTGTTTCAATGATGCGGATGTTACCTATTTTCATGAATAGTGGAGTTTGACCACAGCATTCGATTTCAGGGTCGAGATAGTCAATGACACATTGTTTCCCTGTTATTCGTGAGATAACATTTTCAAGGTCCTCCTTTGTTAGAATTATTTGGTTCTTGCTTATAAGATTTGTCAAAAGCTTCTTATCGTCTTTGAGTAAAATTGTTTGGTATAACTGAAGAAGGTAATGGTCTACGTTATCTGAAGGATTTGTTTGAACATTTGTGTAAGGGTTGTCGTTGGCTTCTCTTGAAAGAATTTGGTCCAGTGGTGGATACTCTAACTTAACATCTGATGTAGCGTTAGCGTTTGAAGCTGAGTTTAAATTCACGGATTTCAGCTCTGGTTCTTTTTCTTTCAAACACTCCGAACTATAGTTCTTTATGACAATATTGTTTGTCGTTCGTGAGTCAACATTTGATGTTGGTTCAATTGGAACATTAACGGCACCAGCTAAGATGGATTTGCTTCTCATTTCATATAGAATAAAAACCTTTTATATGTATGAAATGAACAATATACTCGACAAGGGTTTGAATGTAAAGCTAACGAATGAAAATATTGTTGAATTCACTGAGACAGGAGCTGTGTATAAAGATGTAGAACTACTGAACAAAAGAGCAAAGGGAAGAAGCAGGAATATGAACAAAGGGTGGAAGCCTATAAAAATTTATGTCAATGATGGCTCAGGAGGTTCAAACATAAAGTATGCAGAAAGTTATAGAGTTTATGCTCTCAAAGGTGAAAAGCCTTCATTTAAGAACAGCTATTCTAACGCATATCCTCAAAAGCTAACGGATGGGGAAGTGGATGATATGAATGACAGCAAAAATATTAACAGAAATGGCGACAGAGATGCATGGAATTTGTTTACCATCAGTCAATTGAAGGTTAACTTTAAAATAATGTTGGTCGTTCCCATGGAATATTTTTGACTTTAATGGTATTAGTCATGATATGAATCTCAAGGTATGAACGAGGAGAGATGAGAGACTTATATGCTTCCCAAATTTCTTCAAAAGGTAATGTTATACCTGACTGTTTCCAAATGAGTTCAATATCATAACGTGAGAAACCTTGAAAGATAACGAAGTCAGTTATGAGACGTTTTATGTTTAAAGCTAAAAACCTCCATGTTTGCATAAGTATTGCTACAGTTAAATGGTAATGTCTGACTTTAGTTATGATGTTAGCTAATGGTGAGTCAGGCTTTGAAACTAAACCTTTTCCGGCGAAGTCGTCGCAAACGAGCAGAGTGTTTGAAGGATATTTTTTGAAGGGGTATTTTGAAAGTTTTGATAGAATGTAGTTTGTCAGTCGTTTCATATCGTAAACTCCTGAGTACTGACGTAAGTGGTGTTTGTCAATAATTCTTTCCATCTCCTCAGAAGTCTTTTGCATTCCTGACTGTATAAATTCAACGATGGCATAATATTTCCTCTTACGTCGAATGTAACGTTGAAGAAATTCAATGAGTTCACTGTCTGGAACTTTAACGACAGAGGCTTGAACTTTTGACATAAATGTTTTCGCTGTTGAATCCATAGAGTCTGAAGTTGCTGATATAATGATTTGGTCATAATATGAGTCGTTTCCTAAACGTTCTGTTATGAGTATATGACGAATGAGGTTAAATGTCTTTACCTGAACCCATCTTTCCACAATAGAAATACACACCATTTGAACAGAATTCATAATCTTTGCTGAAAGGAAGAATAAGAGAAGAGTTAAGTTTGTCTGTAGTTTCATTCATGTCTTCATCTACGTCATGTATTAAATGCTTCATTTTATCTCCATTAAAAATGCAAGTCAGAAATATTCAGAACATAGCACCGAGTCTAACTGACAAGAGTATAAAGATATACTATGAACATGTTATGATGAAACCAACCAAAATTCAAGAAAGTCAGTATACTTATGAATATCCAAGACACTGGGTAGAGTATGTAGGAGGTGAGAAAGCTATTGAAATCAGACAGGTTCGAAGTATTCCAGCAGGAAGAACAATATTATTGAAGAACTTTAATGTTTTGAGATATAATGATGAAACAAAGAAGCAAGATAGTTTCCCTGTTGCTGTGTATGTGAACTTAGATACAGGAGATGACATGAAAGTTTTTAACACAAAGCTTCAAACGGTAGTGAGAGAACAACTGACTGCGGAAGGCATCCATTACCTTCAGAAGTTACCATAGCATATAATTTTGAAACAAACTCAATAGATTTTAAAGTCGTCTCTGCAAAGAAGTCAGGTTTTACATTTAATGAAGCAGATGTATATTCGAATGAAAACTTCAAAGCTATTGCATGGTTAGATAATGACGATTGCTTTAAGAAAATATTTAAATTCAGTGACTCAACGATGTCAATAGATGACCTTCGTGGAATGTTACCATCGACGTTTACAGTGAAGGTTCAGCAGGATTGCTTACAAGATTGTCAATTGGTGGTATTTGGTCTCGTGAGAACATTGTTATAAAATCCAGTATAAGTGAATTTGCTGAAGAATCTATATTATGTCTTTCAAACTATATGTATTCGCCGCCGAAGCATTATAGTATAACAAACTTTGTCAGTAAGTTTAACATAAGACTTGTCGAACCTTCTTCAATGAAAGATGTTGTGCTACCTAAAGATGGAAAGGATGGACTCATTATTGAGATGATTTTAATAGCATATTAAATGAGCTTGTTCTTGAAGGTCATTCATGATGAAATAACTGTTGTAGAAGATGTTAGCAATTGTTCAGACATTTTGAAGCGTATAGATGATATAAGAAATAAGTTAGATAGACCGCAAAGCGGTGAGGGCAAAGCCCGTGAGAACGCTTATGTTTCATTGACTTTCTCCAGTAACGAGAACTTTTATGAGATAATATTGAAGAGAGATGATTTTAATATGGTGTAAATGGTAGCTTGGGCAGCTTTAGGCGCAATGGGAACAAAAGCATTAGCATTTGGAGCAAAAGCACTTGGAGCTTATGACGCAGTAAATAAAATGAGTGGAGGAAGGGTTTCAAAGACATTAGATGCAAATAAAGGGAAGATTGGAGGTTGGGTTGCAAAGAAGTTAAGATTAAATAAAATAGGGCTCATAAATAAAGCATCCAATTTGGTTGCGACTGAGTCAGAAAATGCTTTAGGAAAGGACGATGAGTCTGCAAAACACGCAAAAGACTTTAATGACCAGATGAAAGGTGAAACAATGCATTTAAATAGAGTCGATGGAACTAAAGAAAATGTTTCTTCTCCACTAGTAGTTCTTCCGTATGGTCCCTATGGAATGTATGGAAACCCTTACGAAAGACCATTTGACCCATTGACTGGTGGAAGTAACTGGTATCATTACGGACGAAGAAGAAAGACAGTCAAGTTGGAGACGGACGTGAAGAAAGCAACTAAAAAGAAACCAAGGAAGAGAGTTATAAAGCAATGAATTCAACAGGGTAGAAATGAGGTTAGAAATGAGGTTAGATCTACCCTTCTACCCTAAATTTATTTTTGTGCTATGTTTTCATACGTGTGAGGGTGGTGATATCATTAATTTTTAAGTTTATTTTTTAAAATTATTTTTATTTTATTTTGGATGTAATGACGAAAACTATTGAGATAACAAACTACAACGGTCATGAGTTCAAGAACTTGTTCTTCGTTCCTCGTGAAAATACATTCTATCAGATACGAGGGAGAAAGGGTAAAGTTAGTTTGAGCGTTTATGACAACAAACATAATGGGAGATATATAAAAGCAATAGATACAAACGGTAAGCGTGTTTCATTAGCTTTGTCAAAACTTACTAACATTTATTTTGACAGTGATTTTGACCTATATGAAGAAGAAAGTGAGTCAGAAGATTATGAGCTGTTATGTGAAGCACAGCAATGGGAGGAGTTGCAATACTTTTGTAAGTGAGAACGTTTATTTTTACATTAGTGAAGTCGTTTGTGAAAACGTTTATTTTTTCATTAGTGAGGTGAAGTGGTTGGCGGCTTTGTAAATATTTAATGTTAAGTTAGTGTTGTCGTTTGTGTTGTAAAATATACGTTAACGGTTTTGTAAAGTGTCAAAACAGCTAAGTTTGGTAAAGTGAAACGCAATGCCACCGTACCCAAGATATGTATACTAACTACTTTTAGTAAATGCTGTAGCAATGTGGGCTTCACCTCGTTATGCTTGTTATATTTTCATGATGTTAGATGAACTATATAAAGCAGAACGTGGAGAGATGGAAAAGAAACTTCAAGCAAAAGATGAAGTCATTGAATCCAAAGACAAAAGCATACAGAAAAGAATACCACGTTCAGTACCAAAAGGAAAGGAAAAGAGTTATAAGTATATGATATATACTGAAGAGTTGGAGAAAGAAGAAGACAGTGACATGGTTATGTTGCATTTAGTCAGAAGAAACAACAAGAGCTTTTATGACTTAGCTAAGATTTACAAATCTGACAGAAATTGGTTCTATCGTGAAAACTTACCGATTTCAATGACACCGAATGAGCAAATAAAGGAAATTGTCAAAAGTACTCTTCCTCAAACACACTATGACATCAAAGGTTGCACAATACTTACATTCAAAGAAGACTTAACATTACTGAAGGAAAAAATAACAGAATATTTCGATAACTTCAAAGAGGAAGACTAACCAAAAATATATTTTTGCTTAAATGACGTCAGGGTCAATTTCTTCAACCATTTCACTTCCTTCGTCAATGTCAATAGAAGCTTCTTCAACCTTTGGTAAGAATTTCTGTATAACATCTTTGTTCGTTATTGTCTTCAGAGATGAAGGATAATATTTCACATTTGTTTCACCCTTCTTATATTCTTTCTGTTCGGAAAGATTCATAGCAATACTGAAGAAGTCAATGTTGGAGTTCTTTATAACAGTATAATGAGTATCTTTGACATTCACGAAGAAACCCTTTTGTTTCAAAACTACTGCTAACTCTTGTGAAGTATAACGTTTGCGGTCAATGACGATAGCTAATGGTCTGACATACTGACCAAACTTAGATTCTTTCACAAACTTCTTGTTAAAGATAACATTAACGTTTGAAGCATTATTGAACTCATTCTTGATGGCAGTAGCGAGAGCATTGTATGAAAAGAACTTGCAATCTTGCATGTGTTTCATTATAATAAAAATATTAAATTATTTTGAAAAATAATTTAAAAAAAATCTAATCTAATTTTTTCAAAAAAATATTTTTTTATTTCCTACTAAAGATGTATCGGAAGTTGTCTAAGTTAGAACACTCGGAAATAAAACAACTTCTTACAGAAGCTAATATAGATGTTGCAAAGCATTACGCAACAAACAAAAAAGCACTCGCTGACATCCTCAATGACTACAATGGTGCAATAAGTTATGATAGAATTCATGAGTTCATAAAGCCGCAACGCGGCGAGGACGAAGTCCATGCAAGAGCATTTCCTTTAAATGACGTTGCTATTGACTTATATCATAGACGTTCAGTACCTCATGAAGTAAGAAGAGAAATGTTTGACATAACAAATGCAAACGTTGGTGAAACACGAAAGAGAGACGACACACTGAAACAACAGAGAAGAGAGATGTTTAAAAGTGCTATAGAACAAGTTCGCAAAGCTAATAATGTCATTCGTTCCATTGACGACAAACCAAAAGAAGATGAGAGATGGTTAAAGAAAGATGAAGAGAATAGGAAGAGAAATGTGAAGTCAGGCAATAGACTCATTGACTTTAACATCGAAGCTTTAGATGAACCAAACAGAGACTACTTACACAAACATTTCGGTAAGGTTTTCATGAGACTCTTAGAGAAGATTAAAATAAACTCCCAACAAAGATGGATGGTATGTTATAAACTTGGTGGAAAGTATGAATGTTCTACGTTAAACCTCAATAATATTGGAACATTACTACATCAGCTCTTGAAGGAGAACTTTATATCAGAGATAGAAGCAAATGCCGCAGGTATTGTTGAAATGCACTATGACTTCTTCTTGACAAACATAAAGAATCTTACTGAAATAAAGATGTATGATTTAACAGAATATGAAGGCTTAACGATGTCAGATGTAAAGAAAGGCAAACCAAAAAAGAGACCATATAGAGATGAAAGCACACTGACAGAAAGACAGAAAAGATTATTGAACAGACTTAAACAAACAGGAGATAAACAAGATATAGATGACTTCTGGAATGAAATCCTTGGTGAAAAGAAGTTTTATAAGAAGAGAAGCGGTCAGTTCTGGAAGTATCTTTGCACGTTACCTATAAATCTTGAACGCTACCAAATCTTCAATGAACTGAACAAAAGAACTGCAACACTTATGACAGAGGACAATTGTTTCGTTTATGCTTGCATTCAGGCTGGAGTAAATGAAGAAACTATTGACCACATGAGAGAAGTCATTCGTGTTAGAGACTTTCCTCAAAGTAAAGTACAAGAAATTTCTGACGCAACAGGTATAGCATTTAATGTTACCATTGGTTACTTCAATGACTCAAGACATAATGAAATAAAGAGATACATACCAAAAGAATGTGAAACTGTTCGAACTATTGACTTACTTCTTGTTGAAGACCACTACATGCTAAATGAAAGACTTCCAATGACAACATATTTCGTCAGAAATTACAAAGAAATTCTCAAAGCTTGTGGTGGAATGAACATTGAGAAACAGATGAAGATTTATACAAAGAGAGAAGATAAATATGTAGTTCGCATGGATAGAACAACACCGTTATGGGATGTTATGAAAACATTGTGGGAGTGCAAATATTTCGAACCTATTTCTTATGGAGAACTTTTCACATATACGACTGACTTATATAAACAGAACCTTGCACCATTTAAAGATTTGGCATATGCTCCAAAGTATTGTGTACAACTGAAGAAGAAAGCAGAGTCAAAAGAAGTAAATAAAGCTAAATGTAAGTTCATTCCTGAGCATGTTTTCTTTGCTGACTTTGAGTGTAGCACAGACGGCTTTCATAAAGCTTTTAACATCTGTTACGACAGTGAAGATGGTTCAGTGAGTGAAAGCATTTGGGGTCAGAACTGTGCAACAGAATTTTTGGAACGACTTCCTGACAAGAGTTTAATATATTTCCATAACCTCAGCTATGACATAAACTTCATCTTAAGACACATGACAGAAGTGAAAGGAACTCCCATCATTAAAGGTTCACGAACAATGCAAATAACTGGCTTATATAAAGGACGGGCAATTATTATAAAAGACTCTTACAGTGTTATAAATAAGAAGCTTAAACTATTTCCTGCTATGTTTAACTTACAAACAGGACCGAAAGAAGTATTTCCATATAACTACTACAGCAGTGTTTTGTTAGCAAATGACAACAGAACTGGTGTCATTTCTGAAGCATGTAAGTTTGTCAAGGATGCAGATACATTCATGAAAAACATAGATTCCATCAAAGGTTGCAGAATAGATGAAAACCACTTCGACTTAGAAAAGTATAGCACATTTTATTGCAAACAAGATGTAAGAATTTTAAGAGAAGGTTTTGTTAAGTTCCGCAATGACATATTGAAAGAATTTGATTTAAACGTTTATGACTACGTTAGTATTTGTTCAATTGCTAACAAATTATTTGAGAACAGAGTGTACTTCCCGAATGGAAATCTTTATGACCTCTCAAATAAACCAAGAGAATTTATTTCACGCTGAATTCAAGGTGGAAGATGTATGTTGTCAGATAACATTAAACAAAAGAGCGAAAAGAAACTCATTGCTGACTTCGACGCTGTTTCATTATATCCATCCGCTATAGCAAGACTTTATACTTTAGAAGGAATTCCAAAAGTATTGAAGGATGAGATGTTAAGCACAGAGTATTTGTTAAAGCATTTATTCGATGACGACCAAAAGGAACCCATTGGTGAAAAGTTTATGTCTGGCTTCTTTGTTCTCATTAAGATAACAGAGATTGGTATACATAGACACTTTCCTTTAATAGTTTGTGACCCTGAACTAAATCTAGAACTTAACGTTCCCAGAAGTTCAAACACTTGCTGTTTAATGTATGTTGACCATATAACATTACAAGACCTCATAAAATATCAAGGTGTCAAATGTGAAGTGTTGCAAGGATACTATTACGATGGAAACAGAGATATTAGAATAAGAGATGAAGTAAAGAAGTTGTTTGAGTTAAGGTTAAAGTATAAGAAAGAAGGAAATCCTTTGCAAGAAAATATAAAGCTCATTCTGGACAGTATTTATGGCAAAACTATTCTATCTCCTATTGAGTCAAAAATAACCATAGTAGATGACAAAGATGCTATAAGATATGCCATCAGAAACTACAACCATATAGTGAAGTTCGAAGGTTTGGATGGTTCAGATAAAACTATTTTCAAGCTAACGAAAAGCATTTGCAGACACTTTAACTTCTGTCCACTTGGTGTTAACATTCTGTCTATGTCGAAGAGAATAATGTGTGAAGTATTCTGTACTGCTGAGGACTTAGGAATGGACATCTTTTATAGCGATACGGACAGTATGCATCTCTACAATGAAGATATCCCTCGTTTAGCTGAAGAGTTTGAGAAACGTTATGGAAGAGTTCTCATTGGTAAAAACCTTGGTCAATTTCATAGCGACTTTGCAGAAATCACAAAAGATAAACAAAGTTTAGCATACAAGTCAATATTTTGTGGAAAGAAGACTTACATAGACTTACTCACGAATGATTTAAATGAAGTTGCATTTCACTGCAGAATGAAAGGCGTGAAGCAAGATGTTATTGCTTTAACCGCTAATGAAATGTTTCCTGACTCTGTTCAGTGTTTCTATGATGAAGATAAAGGTTTAATGGTTCCGCAAGGAAAATTTGACAAAGACTCTGAGTTCAGTGTTATGAAGTTATATAAAGCACTTTATGACGGTCAAGAGATTGGATTTGACTTATGTAAGTCTTCTAGTCCTTGCTTTGCTGAAAAGTTTAACTTCTCAATAACGACTAAAACAAGCTTTATTCGTAAGTTGAAGTTCTGAGGTCATTTATTTTTGTCATGAATGAGGTCAGCAATGAGGTCATGAATGAGGTCAGCAATGAGGTCAGCAATGAGGTCATGAATGAGGTCAGCAATGAGGTCATTCGTGATAAAAATAAAGCTAGCGTAGATTTTACAATACTGCGATGGTAGAGTTTAAGAGTTGTGCTTCAATGTAGAGACAGTCCTTATGGTCTGGAGGTAAGAACACTGGGCAGTTATGGTCATGAGTGGAGAACATGTCTATCCAAAACTCACGATTGAAGCCAGTTAATTTATAGTATTTAGGGTTAGGAAGTGGTGAAGTTCTTGTATGACCAATGAACTCATTTTCAACTCCCTTACTTAAGTTTGAATATAATATAGCTTGCTTTCTATCCCAAATACCAGGTGTTACAATCTTTGAAAATTCATTTTTCCTCGGAAGCATTGCATCATAATTGAAAACATTCTTGAAATCATCACTTGGTTCAGAGATTTGAAATCTTATACGTAATGGATTTTTTTTCTTTTTAGCTACTTCATTGAATGGTGAGAATACAACAAACTGACAGTCATGTGTTCCATCTTCATTTTCATTAAATTCATAATGAAAGTCTATAAGTTGTGGCTGACTACCTTCTTCTTTCAGTTGTGCAAGAAACTCACGTAAAGGCTGTAAAGTTTGTACTTCAATGTTGAACTTTTTCTCGAACATCTCATTAAATGAAATCATACATTGTTGCAATGTTGTATCGTCTTTAAAGTATTTGTATATGTGAATGTTTTGGGCGCTTAAAGACTGTTCGTCATTTTCTATCTCGACTTGAAGTATAAAGTCAACCTTTCTGAAAGCACGTGTTATATACATAGATGTTATGCCAATGTACTTCTCTTCATTTATGTTCACAATCCAGTCTGTTGGAAACTTAAACGTTACTCTGTTCCCCTTTATTTTGACGTCAGGGTTTTCACTACTGAATGCAACAGATAAAGGTATTTGTCTATACATTTAATTCGGATAAAAATAAACCATTTACTCTTTCGTTGCTTCAGCTTCTTCTCTAGCTTTCTTCGCCAGCAAACGTGGGTTCTTTTGTCTTCCAGCAGCTAATGCAGCAAGTTGTTTTTCACTAAGTTTTCTCTTTGGTCTCTCTGGCTTTTGTTCTTGTTTTTGTTCCTTCAGTTCGGATAAAATTTGCTCACGAATTTCTTTCTTCAATGCTTCAACATCTATGACCCCTTGGGTCTTGTCCGTAGGGCTTGTCTGAGTCATTTGACTGCAGATAAAAAACAAAATTAAAACTTTAACCGATGTAAAATGAGCTTGTCAAAATCAAGAACGAGAAGTCTTATTAT